CGATGATCAAGTAAAGTTGAATTGTGCCTTATAAACGCAAATCTTTCTCATACTCTCGAAACATTCGTACAGGCCCAGTTTCGTATACTAATGTAAACAAAGCAATTTCTAAAGAAGTGATGGATTTTTATTTATTAATCTGACAGATTTTATTACTTAAACGTTATTTTTACATGCGCTCTGCGGCAGATTTTCCCTTCCAAGGGGAACTCAGATTCGATTCCTGCTGGAGAGTGTACATTTTTCTTTAATAAGATTTCACGAATATTCAGGCCGGTAGACGAAAATAAATAAATATATTGTTAATAAATAAAAAAAGCGTCTACTCAAATGTGATTATCCACTAAAAATAACGTCTAAAGGAATCAGATCTGTCGCATTAATAAAAAAAATCCATTACTTTTTTTTTTAGAAATTGCTTTGTTTACGTTTGGATACCAAACTGAGCAGATATGAAATTTCTAGAATCTGTGACGAGAGGAATTTCGCTTGAAGACAATATTCAACCTTGCATGATTGGCAAAAGTTCTTTTTGGCTGAGTATAAGTACGTCGAAACTAACGATTTCTTACTGTTCAGAGGATGGGGCATTGGTTCAGATCATGCTGGAGAGCGCACATTTTTCTTTAATAAGATTTCTCAAATATTCAGGCCGTTAGACGAAAATAAGTAACTATATCGTTTAATACTTAAACGGTAATTCCAATCAGATATGAGTATCCACTAAAAATAACGCTTAATGTGATAAAATCCGTCGGATTAATAAATAAACATTTCATTATTTTTTTTTTTTTTAGAAATTGCTTTGTTTAAGTCTGGATACGAAACTGAGCAGATACGAAATTACGAGAGTCTATGACGAAAAGGATTTCACTTAAAGGCACTATTTCGCATTGCTTGATCGGCAGAGTTTCTTCGTGGCCGAGTCGGTTAAAGCAGGTCGGATCTAACGATGGTTCCCACTGCCCAAGGGGACACAAATTTTCTCGAATATTCAAGCTGGTAGACGAAAATAAATAAATATGTCGTGTAATAAATAAACGGGACGTCTACTCAAATATGAGTATTCGCTAATGATAACATTTAAAGTGATAAAATCTGTCAGATTAATAAATAAAAATCCATCACTTCTTTAGAAAGGACTTATAAATGTGCTAGATAAATTCTGGTGAGAAAAATCGCCTGGCATGACATAGTAGACAGACTTTCCTAGCAGCAGACTTGTAAACAGAATAAAGGTGGAGATATCTCCTGCCCAGGATGTCGTCCCACCAGTAATCGAAACTTCGTGTCCAGAATGCCGCCTTACGAGTGCGATACTGTCTGTCACTTATTTGAGTTTCATTTCGTGTCTAATGACTAACTTGTATGTATAGAAAGACATAGAGCAAATAGTACTTTTTTTTTTACGTAGTACTGCAACATGCTCTGTTACATACGTAAGCATTTCTGTTTTTGGTTACCCTCCTCTTCACCTTACTTAAATAATGACAAGCTCTCTTCACGTCTACATGAACCAGCTCCTTCCATATTTCACGACTATATGAACACCTCGTTCCACATGTCACGGTTACATATCAATATATGAGTTGAAATTTGGAGAGTGGTTCATTTATGCGTAATGTGGACAGAGTAGACCTGACGGAGCATATCTCTTTCCCGGTCAAACCATAGCTGACAACCTTCGACTTGAAGGCTCACCTTAGACACGGCCAAGTGGCAGTTGACTCCCACTTGAAGAGCATTCCGCCCTGGCTGTTGACTTCAGTCTAAGAAGCCACCTTCCCAGTGATGCGGATAATGATCTACTTTCTCTCTTAAATTAAAATGTAAGTCTTTATTGACTGATAAAATACCAGAGAAATAAATCATTCATACTTTTCCCATGTACGCTCCAACCATTAAGGTGATTGTTAACAAACTAGTCCAGTAAAACATTGCGAGGGCGTTCAATCTGCTCTGAGCGCATTATTCTAATGCCCTTGCGCCAGACTAGACGAAGCTTACTCAATATCTATTCTTATTCTTTATCTTTATTACTAGGCTGACGGACGAATGCTGAAAGACATTTCTGGCCATTTTTGTATTAAGCACATTTTAAAAAATATTAATGTTTTTGATAATTACATTTTTAATTATTGATCTATTTTTTAAAGTATGTGTGTCTAATAATAAGATTATTTAAAGATAGTCTTATTATAAAGCACACTGATCAAAGGGATGTAACTCTTACCATAATAGATTTTAAAATATGTAACCAAATTATATTTTTTAAAATACCGATTTGCATATATGTATCATATTAACATTAAAGATGTAACATTCTACTTTTTTTAAATTCACATCAACTTCTGTTGATTTTTACAATATATTGTTAAATTTAACGAAATCAATTGATGTGGATGTTAATATATTTAGAGTTAACCTTAAATTATCTCCCTTGCATAAGTTCTAATCTTTATGCGGAAAATTTATACGCATAATTTTGTGCATTTTATAAGATACTACAGTCCCCATAAACTCGTTGTATTTTTTTAAGCAGTCCACATATCACACCCCACGTTTTTGCATAATTCTATGCTCTTTTTTCAGCTAATTTTTGGAGGTACCTATATTTATATAATAAATAATTCATATCTATCTTAAAAAGATAATACATCTTAATGAATTACTGCTTTTATCTTAAATAACTAACATTTGTATCTTATTGAAGGAAAATTCATATAATAAAGAAGTTAAATTTACATCTTAAAGTACTGTTTATATAAAGGAGTAATCTTAAATAATATTTATATGAATCCTTCACCTTAAAATGTAATATTTGTATTTTTATAAAGTAATACTTAAAGGATAATATTTAATCTTAAAAAATAGTATCTTTTTTACTTAATATTTTTACATTAAAAATGTAATATTTATATGAATAATTATTATTTATGTCTTAAAATATTAATATTTGCATCATCTTATTATAATTCTGTTTGTCTCGCCCCCAGTTAACACAACCGTTACGCCCTACCGGTACCTCATACATAATGGTCTACTCCGTTTTGATTGCGTGGAAAGACGGAAAAGACATCAGCGACGCTACTTGGTTTCAGTGAGAAAATGAAAGGAAGGAAGGAAGGAAGGAAGATAGTAGTGTTTAACGTCCCCTGCAAATAACTCATAAATAATGGTCTATGGAAAGACAAAAGACATACCAGAGACGCTACACGGTTTCAGCAAGAAAATAATTGAAATAAAGAAAGAAGGGAAAATAGATGTATTTAACGCCTGTCTCAGTGAATTGGAAAAAAATGGTCACTTTCAACTCTTTTCCTTTGCACCTCTTAAGATAGCGACTAGCATTAATATTTTTATTGTTATTGCAACGTTCTGTTAAAGCTTTTAAGCTCAAATATTTAGCGATGCTATAAGGGAATTTTTATGGATATTTTATTGTTGTAGAACTCGCCATGAGATTATTCAATCATTAAATGAAGAATTAAGATTCATCAGAAAATTAAAATGGGAAAACAGTGAAATTTACATAGATATTTCTAGTAAAGGATTAATATTTGCATCTTATATATATATATATAGTAGTAAATTCATCTTAAAATATTAACATTTTAAGATAAAAATTACTAGCTTTACATTAATTTAAAAAAAATATTATTTTTATATTAAGATAGTAATATTTATTTTTTTTTTTTATCTTAAAACAGTAATATATACATATTAAAATAATTGTATTTTTATTTTAAAATATTAATATTTCCATATTAACACCAAATCTAAATAGGTGGATGAATCAAAATAGGGTCAGGCAATTGTTTGAAAACAAGTGAAAAAGTGTCCAGAAAAAGAAAATCGGGGATGAAATGCAAAAATGGGAAAGAAGCCATAAACAAAATGTATGTAAAAACTCATTACACTGGTATAATATGATTCTGGAGTAGATATTGCATCCAATTCACACCAAAGAAGCTAGGTGCATCAGGGGATTGAATTGGAGTCACTCTCGGACGGCGAATGGGTAAGCACATGACCTCACAGCTGCATTTAGTTCTGCAAGCGTGAGAAAGATTTGAGAATTAGAAGCAGTCTCTGACACATCCCAAACGAGAATGTAGGATTCAAATTTCGGACCCTGAAGGTGATGAGCTCACTCATGCACCAGAGAATGCCCTGACAGAGAAACTGATGACATACCTGAAATAATAAAATGTTAAGTGAAGTTTGAAAGATTCAAATCTTGTGTTGGCATTTAACTGCTTGTCACCCTATACACAATATAATTTTCAGATGGCTGACACGAACTCCTACAGTTTGGAAGAGAGAGTTAGGGTGAGAAGAAGGGAGGACGAGGAGAAGGCTTTCTCTTCTTCTTCCTCTTCTTCTCTTGTCGAACTCTCTGCCTTCAGGCGGAGAGGAACCTAGACGAGGCTATGCCGAAGGGTAGAGTTTCATTTGGGGAGGTAGACAAACCCGACCTCGTATATACGGGGTCAATTTTTGCCCGAGCCTACGGCCTCGGAACGTCCCACGTTAAAAACTGGCCTTGTTGGGAGGTTGGTAAATAGAGAGAGAGGGTTAGGGTGGGAAGACTTTCGGACCACCCCGTACTTCATTATAGCGGTGAATTCACGGATAGTGAAGCCGATTGTTTGTTTTGCTTAGAAACTTACTTCAATCCAAGACCTGGTGAGAATTGGATAAAGTGCGCGTTTTGTCAAATCTGATCACATGTTGATTGAGTGATTTGTTTTTTACGGCTTATCAACCTTTTGCGGGTTATTTAAAGTCTCCAAATATTTTTTGATTGTAAGAATTCTCTTTTGAAAATTATAATGATTCAGTGATAGAAGTCTTTTCTAATTAACCGATAGCTAGCTGGATAAAAGGTGGATTCATACCTTTCCAAAGGATTTTTGTGCGTAAGTGAATATAACGAACCCAACTGGAATGGGAACTTGGCTCTCTGATTAAGAAATCCGAGCCAGTATCCATCAAAGCTTACAGCACCTGCAATTCCCAAGCGGACACCCGTCTAGGTACTGACCAAGCTCGGGGTTGCTTAACTTCGGTGATCGTACGAGAGTCTGCATTTCAACGTGATGTGGCCATAAGCTGCTTACATGTTGAGTGCGTTTCAAACAAAAAAACAAAACAAAAAAACAAAAAAACAAAACAGTATACATTACTTAGTCAAAACTGTACATACGATGATTCTGAATTCGACTAATAATTGACAAGCATCAGTCAATTAGACAAGGCAGATTTTTCCCTCAGTAGGTTGCCATTTCGAAAGAAAGTCGCGGTAGACCAGTTGCCATTCAAGGTCTGTCCTGCTATTTACCCATAGCATTGGGGGAGAAGATTATTAGCACGTAAGTAAATGTAATGGATTCGACTGGAATTCGAACTCGGCTCTCCAATTCATCAAGCTGAGCCGCTATCCATTACTCTTTGTCAAGCATAAGGAATCAAAATGATTTTTTTTTTTTTTGCTAACATTTACTTCTGAAATTGTTTCGATATTTTTCTATTTTTTGGGGGGAGTTAGCTTCTGTTTGGTAATGCCATTCTTATAGTTATTTTTTTTCTCTTCTCTCTTTTTAAAATGCCACACTGAAGTCCACACACATATGACTGAGTGCTTAACCCGTGGCTTATTATATTCATAAAACGTTCCTTGGGCGTTCTAACCTTCGCGTCTAAGACCCATCATGCTAAGCACATCGTAGCGAGATGCCCTTATTCCCTTCGTGTTCCACCGTTGAGATGTAAGTTCAACTTGAACAGCTTCTTCCCACGAATCGCTGCTTTGTGGAACCGACTCCCAAGAGGATGCTTCTTCGATCAATACAATCTTAACCTGTGCATGTCAAGGGTTAACCTTTATCTCCCCCACGTATAAACTGTGCTTCTTACTCTGTAACCCTCAACCTTGAGTAGCTCATGAGTCTTGTATAGGGTGAACATCACTAGAAGAATCTATTTTTTTTAATTAAATGCATTTTCATTACTGTTTATACGGGTACTGTTTGTCTTGAAATTTTATATTTTTCCATTATAACAATATATTCATTATACACTTACATATAAGCAAGAGAAACAATTTATCCCATCAGATTGTATCAATCTGTCCTATTGGTGATGTAGTTTGGTACGCTTTTCCCCGAATGTTTAAATTATGACATAATAAACATAATTAATGTTGTGACACTACAGTACAATCGAGACACCTACATAGAAGAGGGCGGTAAATGATTTTATCTCAGCCTTGAGTGTTTGTGTCTTTATGACCAGCAGTAAAGTCTAAGAAATGAGGTCTTCAAAGCAGCCACGCTCTTGACCAAAATGGAATAAAATAATAGATTAATTAATGAAAACTTTTGAGATCAAGAGGCACTTTACCGGACGTTTGAGATTTCCATTCGCAGGTTTATATAAACAGTCAGAGTAAGGCTTGACGGTAGTTCTAAACCGCCCATTGCCGGGAACAGGCTGTTCGTCGTGGTAGTTCCGATGCCATCTGTTAGAGTTGCCAGCTGTGCGTCATAATGTAGAGCCTAGCAGAGGGTTGGCAGGAGAGAGAATTAGAGTTCACGCTGGTTGAAGGGAAGAGCTGATCCGTGGACTGTCATAGCAGAAGTTATTCAGATATCATCTACCTATCCACCCACGGCCCAGATCGTGCAGGTAACTCATTGAAAAAAAAACAAAAACAAAAAAAAAAAAAAATCAACAACAACAACAACAAAAAACGACAACAAATTATTGAAAACAGTATTTGTATTTTCATTTTTCACCGCGATATTAATTTAATTTTGCCTTTATTAATTTTATCACCCGCCCCCGGTGAACGTATGGCAGACCTTTCCCAGTTTTCTGCACACCGACGCGAACGTGAATAGAGATGCAACGTGGAGTTATGTGTCCGGTCGGTGGAAAGCTGTGAGAGGGCTTCGTTCTATGTTTACAGTGTTTCAGATTTAAAGAAACCTTTCAAAAAAAGTTATTTTTACAGAGTAAATTTTGCCATACTTACATTTTAATGAAGTCAAAATACAAAAAAGTGAACAATCTGACGCGATATCTCTGATATTATCTTTAAAAAAATTATCTAAAAACGTTTTAAAACGAGTTAATGAAAAAAAAGCAAAATAAAAAGAAAAGAAAAAAGAAATGATAAATTTCATAAATTTAAAAAAGAAAGTCTTAATGAGATTTTACAAATAAAATTTTATTTTCAAATTACAATCAAAATATATTTCTGTGCACGTTAGCCATCTCACATATCCGTCTCAACTGTTACCTTTCTAGATTCCGCTTTTTCAGATTCTTTGACCAAATCAACACTTTTGCTTTGCTTTGTGCAGCATCGCTTACAGAATATAATTTCAATAAATTTTCTTATTTTAGAATCTAACAACCAAAATAATGGCGGGAGCATTTGGGTTGACCATCTAACCAAATATAGAAGATCTTTAGTTTCTTGGTAATTATAGTTTGCATCAAACTGACTGGCGATCTCCGGTGCGAAACGAAGAAATACGATAAAGAAATCCAACAGCAAAATTGCGAGAACGCAACCCGTTACTTTATTTTCAATTTCATTATGCGGAAAGGATTTCGCTTTGACGGCGGCTGCAACAACAAGGAACACAGAAGATATGAAATGCATACTTCCCCACACCAACGAGAGATACCCGTTACGGTGGTGCATTAAATGACGACAGGGCCTCGTGGGTAGAAATTGAGCGGATTGGTTGAGATGGAAAGCAAACGTTAAATTTATTATGATGATAGTAACCCATGTTACACCGAGTGCCAATTTGGAGCCCTTTTCGTAAGCTTTTGTTGTATAATTTTGTCGACTGATGAGTGACACTCCTCGATCAATATTGAGCAGGAGCAGACTTAAAAGAGAACCATCGTAAACAGCCCCGCAGGAAAAGTACCAGATTTTGCATAGGAAATTATCCATTGTTTTACTGTCGGTAATTTGTCCTTTGATTGTGTTCACTTCAAGAGAAAACCCGATAATAGCGAAACAAGAAGATGAAATTAACATACTAAGCAGATAATTCCAGTAGGAAATCCAAAAACGTTTTCTATGAACCATTATTAACATTATGAGGAGGATGTTGAGAATAGCACTGAGAGAACCACTGGCAATGAGGAAAAGATTTCTGTTGGAGAAATGATTATTGCTGGGTAAAAGTGTCTCCATTTTGATCTGCAATGAGAAATACAGCCGTCAAATTTATTCTTTTTCGACTTAAGGAATGGTTATATATATTTATGTATAACTAGCGGTAGAGCCCGGCGTTGCCCGGCGATGTAACAGTAAGAGATAGATCAAGTATCGACCATTATAAAGACTGAAAAATAAAATTGACAAAGATTATTGTTTAAGGTTGACGGACACGCATGTCTTAATTATGTTTTTTTTTTTTTTTTTTTACGAATTGGTCAAACCCAAACTCAAACAAAAACATTGTTTTCAATCGTTATGAGTCTACCGATTGAATAGAATTTTATTATAAACAATTGTCTTGTAAATGGAATTTTTAAAGCATTCTGAATGTAAAAAATAAAGAAAAAGTGTGCAAAACAATAAGAAACACTACCTGCCAAAAAAAGTGAAGTTTTGTTTAAATCGGTTGAAAAATATAGGAAATCCGATACCATATATGAACGAACAACACACACACACACACACACACACACACACACACACACACACACACACACACACACACAAAAAAAAACAACCTGGGTTTTATAATAAGTATAACTCGATATGAGTTGTCCCCCTTTCATTCTGGCGACAGAATCGTGTTTTCAAATTGATTTCGTGCAAAAACAATTGTGTTTTTCCAATTTTTGGCGCTGTCAGAACCACCGCAAAGTAATTTTACGCAGTCCTGTGAAGTTTTGTTGAAATCAGTTGAAAAATGTAGGAAATCCGATCCAATATATAAACGTACACACACACACACACACACACACACACACACACACACACACAATCTGCGTTTTATAATAAGTAAGATTTCATGGAAAATTTCATACTTTAGTAAAAGGAAAAATACTTTATTATTAGAACAAAGTTTTTACTCGATAAACCTGCGTTGTATATACTCATTTATACACGCCTACGAATAATATGAATAAAGACAAAAGGAAAACTTTTCTTTACCTACGCGTTTCGTCCCCCGAGGGATTTTGTCAAGGTAAATGTAAAGATTTTATTTTGCAACATGCATTTATTCAAGAACGCTTTAAATTATTCTTGGAGCTAACCGTGTAAGTAAAGATAAACTATGGGAGACGTTAAGTGATGTAATGTTATACCTAGCAAACGAAAGTGAGCAAATGTTGAATTTTTAGAGGTTCAACTATAAATTCGATCACAAGAATGCTATACTTATTAAGAGAGAAAATAACTTACTTAGATCGAAAGTTCTTGAGAACGCAGCTATCAATTCTTCCCAAAATGTTAACTGACGACCTGAATTTCTTCAAATAGCTCCTTTCTTAAAAGAAATACTCACTTCCCAAGACAACATACATGGCCACAAAATTACCCCCTCCAAAACCCAAAAAACAAACAAAACGGTTGACTAAAGAGCTTCTATTATTTAAAATAAATGCATACACAAATAATTTATCAAATTAAAAAATAATAAATGATAATTACATAAAGAATAAATAATATATCTGGATTAGATAATCGTTATATTTATCTTCATATATTTATATTTGATTTGTAACCTGTAGTCGATATTAAATTTGTCAAATTTTCTCAATTACAAGCGGCCCTTTAAGTAAACGCAATTTTACTTTCCTTCGTCCCATCTCTCTCCCCCACTTCTTCTTTCCCTCCCTCTTATTCTAACATTAAATTGTCTATGGTATGTGTATGTCACCACGAAATGTATCTTTATGCATTAGACATCAGTCAACATTCATTCTTTTCTCTTATTTAAACCCCTTCCACTCACCTCTCCTAAAATTCTCTCTGTTAAGGTTTAATCTCCCTCCTCCTCATACTTACACTCTCTCTAAATTCTGTTTTTATTTTCGGAGTTGGGTTTTTTCTGTTTTCTTTTTGAA